AAAAAAAAAAGTTATACAAAAAAAAAAGTTCCTAAAAATATCATGTTAGTAGCTATAATAAAAGAGGTGAAATATAAAATGTAAGTATAACTAAATTTTGTTATCTTTAATAATAATAATAATAATAATAATAATAATAATAATAATAATAATAATAATAATAAATGAAAAAGAGAGAGGAAATATTTTATTTCTTATAAACAAATGATAAACATTAAAATTTAAAACGTTTCCTTTATTTAAATATATATCTTAAATTTCATATGAGTATATAATATTCAATTAGAATTTAATAATTTTTTATATAGAAATAAAAAAAATTATACGTTTTAATATCTAAGAAAACTAAATAATGAAAAATTTAAACTTGTGCTAAAATGAGTTGATTGCAATGGACTCTTCTAATGATTATTTGTAGCAGTACTTGATTGTGTCTTACTAAATAGCATTTTGTATATTCAAGCAAGAAAGAAAAATTCAAAAAACGAATGAATATAATATTAAAAGTGATGTAAAAAAATATTAATTTTACTAATAATAATTGATAATTATTTTTTTCTCAAATCTGTCAAATTGGAAAGAAAAAACAATTAAATACATTTACTGATGAATTAAAAAAAAATATAGCTATTAAAACTATTTTTTATATAATATATATATATATATATCAATAATTACTGATAATGGGCCCTGGGGTAAGTGGGGGCCTTGGGCGGTCGTTCGGCCCGCCCTGCCCCAGGGCCGGCTCTGGATAATGGCGTAGTGCAACATACAAAAGGGAAGATTAAGAGATAAAAATCTCAACAAATATAATTTTTATTCAAAAGCCACTGATCGGTTTTGGTTATAAGAAAGAGAAATAAATAGAGTTATTGATCTTCTAAATTCCATAACTTGCTAGACTAGACATGTAAATATACTCCTAATCAACTAAATAAGATAACTAAGGAATAATAATAATAATCCTCCCTATATATAATTCTCGAATGCGCTGAGCCTACGTGACTTGTTTCTGGTGCTTCAGAATCATACTTGGCGAAGAATCATGCTTCGTAATTAGGTTTGGACAAATAATATTGATATATTAATATTTAATAATCTAGGTTCGGGAATTCCATAAATATTTTAGCTAACTTATGTATTTTAATATCACTTGTACTAATATAACCCTTTAATTTTTGTAATTTTACATAGTGAACCACTAAGTGACTAATATATCCCTGACTTTGAATTTGTTTCCTACAATTAAAAATTGAATTGTAAATGTATTTTAAAAGTTGATAACTTTTGTATTTCTTATCGGTTTTACAAATATAATATATCAAATTAATCATCTTTTGATGATCTTCGATTTGACATCCATATTGTATATATGAATTAAATAAATTATATTTTTCTTTATAATAATAAAAATTAATAATATTTACTAAAATTCATTAGAAAAATAAAATTATTTCTCAATTGATATATTTATGTTTAATGTAGTTATATGTTGTACTAGTATTCGATCTTGTTCACGTGAACAAATGCAAATAAAATTTATACGTTATATGTGTGCTTATTAATATTTAAAATTATAACTTAAATGATGAGCATCACATTACATAATTTTTGTCAGTAATATTAACTGAACAATATAAACTATTTAAGTTAGATATTAATCTTTATGTTAATGCAATCTTGAGTGATTATGATCAATTAAATAAAAGTTTGATTATGTCATAAATAACAATTAACTATTTTAATAAAAAACTTGCTTATTGAGTTAAAAATAATTTCAAATAAATAATTGTTAAAAAAGGCCTATATATAGTAGAATTACATATAACGCGACTTTATGGTTAATTATAGTAGTAATTATATAATAAAAAATATGCTTTCTTGATTACTAATGCAAAAGTAAAAATAAAAAGAGTTATATTAATTGCTCTATCAACAATTATATGTATAGATATTGATACATGAAGCAAGTATTTCGAATATTAATACTAATATAAAATAATTTTTATTAAAATATATTTGTTGAAATGAATTCTTCATATAAATTTATCAAATATGACTTATTATTTTTTCTCCAAATTCACTAAAACATTCTATTGTTGAAAATTAAACTTCAAAATTCCTTATATTATTAATTCTTTATTTTTAAAAAATAGTTATAATGTTCATTCATTACCTATTATTTTTATTTAATTATGTATAAAATCTCTAATATTTTTTAATAAAAAGTAATTCGATATTTTAAAATTATTATTTTTATATGTGATACTTTTAGACTATATAAACAAGAAATGTAATATTTATGGAGTAATTAGATGTGGATGAAGAGTGGCAACCATAGAAAAATTGCAACATAAGGTGTACATTAAATCAAATCTATTTATGTATATCTATAATCTATCTATAATCTATATCTATATCTATCTATAATCTATATCTATATCTATATCTATCTA